CTGTAACTCATGCTCCCCTACTGCCTTTCCATGGTTCAAGGGACCTCAAAATTATTTTTCTTGTAAAGTAGAACAGCTGCAGCAAGAGGGTTGGTAGCCCGGTGGTTGAGGGTATGAGCCAAGAAAGAAAAAACATGTGGGCTGGCTCTTACACTGCAAAAGATGGAGAATTTTTTATTTTTTCATCATGAGCCAGTCTCCTACTCACTAGATAGAAGTAGGCAAACCATTTCTCTAACTTTTTTTTTTTTTTTTTTTTTTTTTTTAGTCATCATCATCCGCCACTGCATCATTTTGCAAAGCTCCGTCTGGTGAACATATCACAGGGAGACTTGGAACACACTCACATGCCATTACCCTTAGATAAATGAAAAAATGAAGGAGAAAATTATCTAGTTTTGGGAGCCTTGTTAGGTTTAATTGCAGTTTAGATAGAAATCCAGTAGCTATGTGTGAAGACTGCCTTGTGAGATATACTGAGATAGAAAATTCTATGAGGAGATCCTGATATTAGCTTAAACCCTTCCACCCTTAGAACTTGTTTATCTGAGCTGGGTTAAAGTCATTGTATACACTGAGAAGCATAATTTCTGCATGAGCTGCAACATATGGAGGAATCTATGTTAACTACAAGCCTGTGTTAAATTCCATAGCCAAATCTTGAACAAAGATATAATTTCAAATTAAATAATGACCCTATAACTCTTTTATTTGGTCATCTATCATGATTTGTAGTGCACATACGCAGATGTTTTATGCATATGTATATATGTATGTGCATCCACACACATCATGTCTACAGTGTAGGATGTCTTTATACCTCCATAGAAATAATGAAGCCAATTTTACAGTACATAGCACAAACACTGAAATCAGGATATCTACTGTAATAATTGCTCTCTTCTCTAGAACTTTGCAGATGGTCTGACTTCTGCTCTGCAAGTTCTACAGTGTTAGATGAAGTAACTAGATTTTTAACATGTTCCAAAGTAGCACAAATATACCCTTACCCAGTGTTACTTACATAGCCATAGCAACAAGGAGATGGGAGATTACTAATTGGGAAAATGAAGAAGTATCCCACTACCTTTTCCTATTTCAAGTAATTTTCCATATTATGAGTAAACCCATTTCTATTCAAAGTGGCTTCATTTGGCTTGTATGTGGTTAAATTTGGAGACTTTACACCCAGAGGAAAGGTGTAAGTAGGCGGCTCATTGTTTTAGGCTTCTGGATTTTGCACATGGAAACATGAGGTAAAGATAACAGTCAAGGACAATATACTTGTATGCTCTTTCCCTTATCTGTTCTTCTGGATAATTTAGAGGGGATTATGTGAGTTTTGTTTATACAACCTGTGTATGGGTTGTAAACTAGGATTCATATGCTGAATTTTAAAGACCCAGATTAACTGGCACTTCAACGCTGTATGGTCTCTCACTTTACCACACTCTCAAAGTAACAGAGTAAAATATTTCAGCTCCCAATCAACCTGAACCAGGAATAGGTATTTCCTTAAAACTCTTAAAGGCAGGCCTCTTATCCTAGGATACATGTTTCCAAACTTAATTCAATAGCACGAAGAAACCTAGAAATTTAGGATTATGGCACTGAGTAATGGTAGATTAGTGTTCTGGATCTTTCTGTGTAGCTTGATTCATAGAATAAAAAACTTCAGATATCAAATCTCAAATGGATGGTGTCTTTTTTCTAATGGATGGTGTCTTTTTTCTTCCTCTCTGAATTGTCTCCTAGATGTTAACTTTTGCATAGCAGATGCTCTCTCAATACATATATTTTAATATAAGACATCAATCTCCAAAGCATACAGTTGAAAACACAATGGCTTCCTTAGATAAATACTCTTTTGGAAGTTACTTAGCATCCATAAACACTCTTATTTCTTCCGGCATATTTTTTACTTTTTGGCTTTTAACCACTTTGAAATTCTAGGTCCCCAGACAGCTTCCACCAGTTCCTACCTCTCAGTAGATCCTTTGTAAGAAGCAGGCACTCTGTCCTTCACGCTTTGACAACAGGTCATTGTCTCCTTCCAGTTATTCAATTCATATTATTTATTTAATATCTTGTTAATGTTCAGATCTTCTGGTTGCATTTTGATTGTTTTTACGGTGCCTGAGCAATTTTAATAACATGAAGGTAAAGATACTTGGAAGCTTTATTCTAAGGTAGGAGGAGAACAAGTCCTCCTGCCCCACATCCCAGGGAGTCTTCACCAGGCTCCAGATTTTCAGTCTTTACTCTGCAAAGACTTTGTTCACAGTGATCTTGTGACACCAAGTTAATATGTCCTTGACCCCCACCCTGACCCTCTTCCCTTCCTCTGATTGTCCTGCTTCTCTCCATGGACTGCCCTAGGGCTTTCAGGTCTCCAATTTCCCTTGCACTTTGAGACTGCAATTTTTGATCCATAGGTTTCCAGACAGCTTTGCATTCCCCACCCTGACATCACTGAGAGACAAAGTCAAAGTAACCATCATTTATGTGTCCCAATGTGGCAACAAGTTTCGTTTCCTCTTTTTCTTTACCTAGTGAAACCACCAATATATTTCTTGTGATGCTTTCTGTCTCAGTGGCATTTTATCTTTTCTAGCCCATTTGTAATTTATTGGATAAGCTTTTTCAGGGTCAGGATTTCTCTCTTTTTGTCTGTTTTATTTCTTACTCCTGTCCCATTTCCTACCTCTCTTCCCCCTCCCTCCCTAGTCCTTGCCCACCAGAACAAACCAAAAGACCAAATAATCATCCTGGGGACTTGAAATGGCCACGGTAACTGTTGTGATTTGTCTGTGGTCTAATTACATTAATTTGATAAGATCATCATCGGCAGGATGTCTAATTTATTTGCAAGCGGTAGCCAGGGAGAAGCTTTGACCAAATTAACATGCCGCCGGGACCAGGGGGTGCAGGCTCCATATGGCTCTCTGGATTTTCCTATAAATAACTCTCCCCCAGCCCACTCCCGCGGTTACATCCCCCCCTACCAGTATGCCGCAAAGTTCACCAGCGGCGCCGGACTCCAGAGGCACAGACCTGGGCTGCAGGAGGCACCAGGAGGCTGGGCTGCCTCTCCCGCCTTCGCGCCTCCTCCTCCTCCTCCTCTTCCTCCTCCTCCTCCTCCTCCCGTCCTTCTCCCCCTCCCTCTCCTCCTTCTCCCCCTCCTCCTCCTCCTCAGAGCGAGGCAGGTGAAACGCGGGTTTCCACTTGCACCACCAGAGGTGCAACTGGTTCTTCGCTCGTAGGCATCTGAAACCCGTCCAAATGATGCAGAAACTTTTGTGTGCTTGGCTCCTGTCTTTAAGGCCAGGCACCGATTTTTTTTTTCCGCTGTGTAATCTCTTTTGTCAGAAGGATGGGAGCTGGGAAAGGGCAGCGGGGGAAGGAAGGCGGGGAGAGGAAAGGGGCGAGAAGGAAGGTGTCGAGGGAAGCAGGCGTTTTATTTCCACACGGGGTATATAAGGAGCATCCCTAGAGAAATATCTATGCGTGGACATACACGCACCTCTGGTTTTTTATACAGAGATAAGAATAAACGTCAGTTTATACCCTCCCCTGCCCTCCTTAAGGGAGACACTACACTCCGTGGGAACAGGTAGCGTGAACTGTTAACAGTGCAGCAATCCCCTCCCCCCTATCTACCCTCTTCTCTGTGATCATCTAAATTATGAAAAATAGTGCATTAATCCACCGTTCGACATTGCATAGAGAACACCAGCTTGAGACAAAATCCAGCATAAAACACCCTAGACAGCAGGGGAGGAAGAAACGCACTTAACGATAAAAATGGCGTGCAGAATAATTACCTCAGATTGCTATTCGCTTGACACCCTGACACTAATTCTGTTCAAGTCATTGGGAAATACAATAAGGCAAACGAGCCTTCCTCTCCTTGTGCAGGTGTGAGTGTGTGTGAATGCGGGCAATAAGGAACCGGTCGGGAGGAGGGGAATGCTAAACTTTCCATTTTAAAAGAAAATAAATAAATTAAATAATCCATTTAGAAGAAAGCATCTAAATAGATCTACAGCTTTTAATGCCAGCGTTTTAAACGCTGCCCTGTACGTGGATTGATTTTTTTTTTCTTCTCCAGCATTCCCTCAGCAGATGGATTTTTGCCACTGCAGCTCAGCAGAGGGTGTCAGATCTTTCAGTGTGCACCAGGTTGAAACGAGCAGAGCCTCTTAGCAACTCTCCCTCTGCGTGCATGTGAGTGTGTGCGAGCGTGCGGCTCGGCAGCAGCGGAAGAAAAAGGAAAGAAGAGCGAGCGAGGGAGCGAGCGAGGGAGCGCGGAGGGGAGGCAGCGCGGCCGGCAGGGCGAGGCGAGGCGCGGCGCGGGCGGACGGGCGGCCCCGGCCCCGCCGGCGGGCATGGGCAGCCGCGCACCGCAGCAGCGGGGGCAGGCTCGGCGCAGCGCCGGCGGCTCGGCGGGCAGCGCCTAGGCTGGGGCGGGCAGCGCCTAGGCTGGGGCGGGCTGCGCCTAGGCTGGGGCGGGCTGCGCCTAGGCTGGGGCGGGCTGCGCCTAGGCTGGGGCGGGCGCTTTCAGCACCGCGGCGCTGGACAGCGCCCGGCGGGCGGCGGGCGAGGAGCGCGGCTCCGCCGCCGCGCGGCAAGGTCAGTCCGCGCGGAGCCGCGCACCGCGCAGCCTCCGCGGCCAGCGCCGCGCTCCCGCCCGCGCCTCCCTAACATGCAGCGGCGGCCGGGGGCCAGCAGCACCGTGCCGGTGAGCCAGCCCGGCCGGCAGACCTCCACTTAGCTGCCCGGCAGGCGTCAGGAAGGGCGAGCGAGGAGGGGGATTTTTTTTTTTTTTTCCTTCCTACTTTTTTTTTTTTTCCTTTTTTTTTTTTTTTCGCCTGCCTTGCAGTACGTGCCTGGATAGTTTGTGGATATAATTACTGACTGGAATCTGGGCTGTTGCAGTTGTGCGTGGGGGGGGAGAGAGGAGAAAAGAAAGCATCCCCCCCCCTCTGCCGACCCTCCCTGCTCCCCCCCACATATTTTTTTTCCTCCCCCTTTGCTGGTGGTTCGGACATTTAATGTATTGAATGAACTGGAATTGCTTTCCGTGTGAGGAGGATGGTTGCTGTTACTTTGTGATGAGATCGGGAATGAATTGCTCGGTTTAAAAATGCTGCTTTGGATTCTGTTGCTGGAGACGTCTCTTTGTTTTGCTGCTGGAAACGTTACAGGGGACGTTTGCAAAGAGAAGATCTGTGCCTGCAACGAGATAGAAGGGGATTTGCACGTAGACTGTGAGAAAAAGGGATTTACCAGCCTGCAACATTTCACCGCCCCAACTTCCCAATTTTACCATTTATTCCTGCATGGCAATTCCCTGACTCGACTTTTCCCTAATGAGTTTGCTAACTTTTACAATGCGGTCAGTTTGCACATGGAAAACAACGGTTTGCATGAGATTGTTCCTGGGGCTTTCCTTGGGCTGCAGCTGGTGAAACGCTTGCACATAAACAACAACAAGATCAAATCGTTCAGGAAGCAGACTTTCCTGGGGCTGGACGATCTGGAATACCTCCAGGCAGATTTTAATCTGTTGCGGGATATTGACCCGGGAGCATTCAGGGACTTAAACAAGCTAGAGGTGCTGATTTTAAATGACAATCTCATCAGCACCTTGCCCCCCAATGTGTTTCAGTATGTGCCGATCACCCACCTCGACCTCCGGGGAAACCGTCTTAAAACCTTGCCTTACGAGGAGGTCCTGGAGCAGATCCCAGGCATTGCTGAAATCCTGCTAGAGGATAACCCCTGGGACTGCACTTGCGATCTGCTGTCGTTGAAAGAATGGCTGGAAAACATACCTAAAAACGCTTTGATCGGCAGAGTGATTTGTGAAGCTCCCACTAGGTTGCAGGGCAAAGATTTAAATGAGACCACAGAGCAGGAGCTGTGTAAAAAGAACAGAGTAGATTCCAGCCTAGCTGCTCCCCCTGCCGAAGAAGAAACCTGCGATCCTGGTCCCATTCCAACCCCCTTTAAAATACATGGCAAAGAAGACCCTGCCACGCCAGGATCTGCTCCAAACGGAGGTACAAAGATTCCTGTCAACTGGCAAATCAAGACCAAACCCACTGCTGCCGTGTCGACAGTGAGTGCGAAGAGCAAGCTACCGGCTACCTTTTCCTGCCCGCACATCTGCAGCTGTGATCAGATCCCTGGCTCAGGTTTAAAGGTTAATTGCAATGATAGGAATGTGAGCAGCTTGGTGGATTTGAAGCCCAAGCCCTCCAATGTGCAGGAGCTGTTTCTGAGAGACAACAAAATACACACCATCAGGAAATCCCACTTTCTGGATTACCGAAAACTTAATTTACTCGATCTGGGCAACAACAACATTGCCACCGTTGAGAACAACACCTTCAAGAACCTCTTTGATCTCCGATGGCTCTACATGGATAGCAACTACTTAGACACCCTGTCCCGGGAGAAATTTGCTGGGCTGCAAAACCTGGAGTATCTGAACGTGGAGTTTAATGGGATCCAGATGATTATGCCTGGCACCTTCAATGCGATGCCCAAACTGAGAGTCCTCATTCTCAACAACAATCTGCTGAGGTCTCTCCCAGTAGACGTGTTCGCCGGGGTCTCGCTTTCCAAGCTGAGCATACACAACAATTATTTCATGTATCTCCCGGTGGCGGGGGTGCTGGACCAGCTCACCTCCATCACCCAGATCGACCTGCATGGCAACCCATGGGACTGTACTTGCCCTATTGTGCCTTTCAAACAGTGGGCAGAGATGCTGCGCCCCAAGGTGATTATGAGTGACCTGAGGTGTGAGTCCCCTGAAGATTTCTTCAAGGAGGATTTCGAGTCTCTCTCCAATGATGTGATTTGCCCTCAGTTAAAAATCTCGCCCACATTAACTTCTACTAACAAAAACAGCACCGGCTTGACAGAGACAGGTACTCACTCCAACTCCTACTTGGAGACCAGCCGGGTCTCTATTTCGGTGCTAGTGCCAGGGCTTCTGCTGGTTTTTGTGACCTCTGCCTTCACAGTGGTTGGCATGCTGGTTTTCATCCTGAGGAACAGAAAGCGGTCCAAGAGGAGGGACGCCAACTCCTCTGCATCTGAAATCAACTCCTTGCAGACGGTCTGCGACTCGTCCTACTGGCACAACGGGCCCTACAGCGCCGACGGGGCCCACAGGGTGTACGACTGCGGCTCCCACTCGCTGTCGGACTGAGGCGGCGGGCGGGGCGAGGGCGGCCGCCACCCGGGACCGGCTCTTCTCGCACCGGCCGGGGACAGCTCTGCACCTCCGCTGCTACCTTTTGTGAGAAGCGAAACACACAGACACACGCACGCCCTTCCTCACGACCCCCATAGCAAGCGCCGAGGCCCAGTGGGCGGCGGGGGGAGCCCGGCGCAGGAGCGCATCCCTGCAGCGCCGCGCAGCCCGGCGCGGTGCGCGCATCCCCCGCCTGTGCGCGGCCGGGGCAGCGACAGACAGACGAGGAACAGCTTCCTTCTGCTCCGGCAGGGCGAAACACGGCTCCTGGTTTTGTAGGGCTTTTGTTCAATTGTGTAGGGGTTCGCTTTTTTTTGCCCTTTTCCCTTGTCGACCGACCCCTTTCCAAGCGGTCGGGAAAACGAGGGGGCAGAGGACTGGTGTTGGCCTCCTCCTGACGGCAAAGCAGGAGTGGAAAGTTGCACGAAGGCATGAATGTAATGTAAATAAATGACTCCGACTCTGAAACAAACACAAACAGACAAATGGA